TTTTATTTTTTTTTTTTTTTTTTTTGTTTTGGGAGAGAAATACCCGATATGTCGAAACGTCTATTTTATGAAATTATAATCAAGTTTTTATCAATTATAATCTGTTTCGTAATGACTATCAATTTTTAATCATAGATAAAATGAGAACTTTATAAACATCCCTCAAAGCATCAGCTATAATTTCTTTATCTCACAGGATCTACACGCTCGCTTCATGGTAGCAACTTTCTACACGCGAGTTATATCGCGTCTAAGTGGAAGGAATTCGATCAGGTTAAATGCGATTACGCATTTACGTATAGAGCCACATCCCGTATGTAATTATTGCGTCGATGAGCACGGTTTTCTGTATGCGCTTAATAGAATTCGGCAATAAATCGCGCGCGTACGCCATTCTGACATTAAATTAACTCGTGGATGTGGAGAGAGATTGGCGCGCGAAAACCGAGTGCTATAAAACAAGGGCGAACGCGGATCGTCCGAAATCAGCAGATTGCGTCGTTTATCACCGACTGTCCGAAAATCTATATATACGATATACGCAATTTATTCGAAACGACCATTTAACGGTACGCAGCCGCGTACAGGTTCAATTTTAAACATCGTCTACGATATACTTAACCGAATGCAATCGCGCATGACGACGTAATTATCGCGATCCCTCAGGTCAGGTCGCAAAAAAGCGAGCGCAAAAAGATTTCAATGCGAAATTAAATAATTTAAAATATTGGTTCGTACAATATACGGCGTACTCACCGTGCAATACCTAATTTTTTGTACTTTAGGGATAAATTAAAAATCGAAAGTTGTAACGCGTTGAAACTATTAATTACAGGAGATCGAGAGAAGTTGACCAATAATATCGCTGTATATTTTTAACACGATGTACAATATAATTGTAAATACGTTATTATACAAGATAACTATCGTATACATTATTATACGAACTAATTTTAATTGTTATTTGGATGAATTATTCCAATTCATTTTAATAGAAAGCCTAATAAATTATTTGTTATACATACATATAACACAAATTTATTTTTAATTTATACATAATGAAATATGTTACAGTCTCATGTATGTACAAGCGTAAATAATAAATTACATACCTTTTCGTCGTTGTTTCTTTCCAACATTCGGAGGGAATTCACTCGAAGAGAACATGGTTAATTATCGCGCGCGCGCCTAATCATCAGGATACGCGACGACGATGCGACACTTTACGCGATGTTCTCCTGCGACATTAATCGCACGCGATGTTAATGCATTTTACTACGCATTGTGACGGTGGAAACAACGCGAAAGAATACGAATGGCACGAAGGCGCGCGATTCTCGTGAATCAACGCGGATGAAAATTTCGAGCGAAGGACTTTGGCGCGTCATTGAATTCAACAGCGATAGATAACCGTCGCGATCGTAGACACGCGTCACAAATCATTAATCGTGAGAATCGATAGCATGCGAGCCGATAATAAGGCTAAGTGTTTGCTGAGAAGCGAACACGTCCGGCATCTCGCGCGTCGCGCTACCAAGTGTAAGTGCGAGGTCACAAGGGTAACAACCCCCTGCCGCGCGGATACTATGTATGTTTACACAATCGGACGCGCGCCACGCGCCGCGCACAAGCCAGGTGTTTGTCTTTATCGCTTTATCGCTTCCAGGAAATGGTAGGTAGAAAGATGATACAATAAACAAAATTCCGAACGAATTGCCGAACAGTTCACGGACGACCGCCGTGTTGCGCGTGTCGCGCGATTCGCCGCTCCTCATCTGGTGAATGATTATTCATACTTCGCGGTCGTGATTTCGAGTTTAACAATCGCTTAACTTATTTAAATAGATATGTGTAAACATATAAATTATTTAACATTTTAAAATTTTAAATGGATATATATTCGGTGATGAATAACATTAAATAATCGCGCCGTTCAATAAAACATGGAAGGATATTACGAAATTCCCGAAAAAGTCAGCAATAGATAATAGATTGGTATACGTGCAAATCCATTTACGTGCATGCAAATTTCACGTGTAGCGTTGAACAGCTCCGATCGTTTGTAACTCGGAAATAAATTACAATTTCATATTTATATGTTAGTTTCGATTTTAATTAATCCCCAGAACACTCTATTAAAATATTGTACGGTGGAATATTTTCTGTGTATAAAACATCGACATATAATTTTCGAAGAAACGAAAATAAATTCTCCCAACGAAGCAAAATTCGAGACTAATATAATAAGAGGATCTCATTCGTTAATTAACTTTCAGTGAACTTAAGTAGAATTTTAATTTAAGATTCAATTACTTTAATATCGAATATTGAAAAATTATAAGGAATGACGTTTAGTTCATTTTCCTTAATAGTAAATCGATTGCAAATTAGAATATTAGCATATGAAATACCTGCGGTCGCAAGTTTCAAGAGAGCAAGCTATTTTGTTCCTTAAATCGATAAAGTACAAATAACAAAAGATAAAATTAAGTGATATTTAAGATAAAAAAATTACTTCACGAATTAAAATCTTTGGTATTAAATATTTTATTTATTACTGAATAAATAATACAAATTCTTTTATGTATTTTATTAACGAAAGTATTATTTAAGAAAGCATGTAACATTAACAAAAATTTCTCTATATTATATAAATATTATATAATTGAAAAATGTAGCAATTCCAAGAATTTAAAAGTATTATAACATTTCTTTTTTTTTTTTTCTAGCGCCTCCTCGAAAGGTGGAGATCAGCAATCACCCGAATAAACAAGTAATCGAGGTGAAGGTGGGCGAATCGCGGCGCCTAGAATGCGTTGTCAGATCGGCCAAACCGGCCGCTTCGATCATTTGGTATCGCGGAAATGTGCAGATCAAGGGCGGCGACACCACAATCGAAGCAGTCTCCATCCAGGGTGGTAAGTAGTTCCACGCTACCCCGTAATACGCACGTTGATATTCGATTACGATAATACCGCGCGCGAATGAATATATCATGGCTATTACAACGACGAGGATTAAATGAACGCCGTATTATACGTACAGGTAAGCGCATTTCTGATCTAATAATGCGGTATCACCTAATTAAATTTCGCGACCGAATATAAATAATTCTAAACGTTAACGCGCAAAAGCGGGTTTTTAAACTGCCATTGTCCTGTGTGTCATCACAGGTTTGACATTATAACCGCTGTCAAATATGCGCTGTATATTTTTATGTAATTTTTACGTTAAATTCCAGATTTACATTGTACTAAATTTTTTGAAAATGGAAACATTACGGAAAGTTAGATTGAATTTTTCCATCCAGTAAATAATTTTTATTGATATGTATAAAATGAGCGATAATAGAGATTTTACACGTTTAACATCGTATTATACTTTTTATATCAACAAAGTATAAAAGTTGTATTTTTAATAAATATATTATATCGACGCGTGAATTTTTTTTTACACAATTATTGTAAACAATAAGATCTGCTTTGTTTACATTAATTTATTTTAAAATAAATTTCTTTATCTCTTTTTAAGAAAAACTTTTTTTATTTGCCTTTCACGTAGAAAGGAATATTAAATTCATATAAATTATATAAAAGATTCTTTTGTACTATTACATTTATATCAGCAAACTTATCTAAAGTATGTTAAGACTTGGAGACAAGCGTCGTAGAAAATGTCCAAAGAATCTTTGTATCTTTTACAGAACTGACGTTTCCGCTGCTTTTAACAATCTTTTACATTGTTTGCGAGTTAATCAAACTTGTTAAATAATTACAAATTAAACGAAGTAACGGTCGAATCCAGACCAAGGGAACAAACGCGAACAAACAACGAATGAATAACTGACAGTGTTGTTCGTGGTCCGTTTGGACCAAGTTGCTCGTTCGTTCGGTGTTCGCGCCCGTTTGTCCGATGTGGATTCGATCTCTGGTTCGGAGGCGAGTAAGTAATCTCGCGCTTTCGTCGCAAGCTGCCGTCGGGGCGCTGATCGGGCGACGCGCGCGTAGAAGTGGGAAAAAGATTGGGACGGCGTCGAGATGCCTCTCCCTCTTAGCGCCGCTTCCAGTTGCCAAGAGCATCTTCGATCGATCCCGTGACACACAACTCTGGCCGCGCTCCAACTACCGAAATTGACGTTCCTGCCGCCGCCGCTCGCGTTTTTACATTCGGCCGGAGACAGCCCGACGAGACGAGATCAAAGAGACGATTGCCATCGCGGCCGGCTCGCCGTTTTACCACCATCCGGCGCGCGGAGGGTTAAAATATATCCCGATAAGAACATCGATAAATAGAACGGCGGGCTGGAGTGAAAAAAGGGACGCGGCGCGAAGCGACGCGCAGGGTGTTCGTGAAATAAATACGATTGAATTTTCTGCAAATACAAGATCGCCGTAGTCGAAAGTAGATAAGAAAAGTTTCTCTGTGAAACGCGATGCATAAAGACGCGTCATTAACTATTTCGATGGGCAGGAATGAACGAATGAATATCCAATGAATGCAGAAACTGCTATTTCTCGTCGTGATGAAATATTAATTAATATATGGCAGAAGGCGAAAAGAGAAAGGGAAAAAGAAAGAGAAGATGACTTCATTTCAGAGAGATATAAAAACAGTCACGTAATATCAAATAGTTTTATGATCTAAAAAGAAAAGAATTTTTTTAACATATAAAACTATCGTGTATGTACAAATATTTGAATGTCGTCGTTGCAGCATTTGATAAATTCTAATTGCCATTTTATTATTTAATTGGATGTAATTGCAATAATAACGTTATAGAAATTCAGCTACGTACGTTTCAAGAGTGTCGCGTATATCCATCTCGCCTGCAAAATGTATGGAAAAGAAAAGTATGCACTTTTACGAACATCGTGTGATTATCATGTAACATGTATTTGTTATCGGGAAATACATGTAAGCAGACTGCGATGAATTTATAGGTATTTAAAACAAATTTGCTCTTTACATTTAGCGGATTATTCGATGGAAGGTAAAATGAGTATTTCGATATTATTTTACATTACGTATTTTAATATTATCCCTTTGGATGTAACGTGAGCAGCAATTCCCTCGCAATTTAATAATATATTTTAAAAACAGGAAATAACATTTAAATTCAGCAACGCAGTGTGCAACGCAAAATGAAAGTCACGCCTATGAACTTATTTATAATCACAAACAGCTCTTGCTCTTACGATAAAGTAAGTCTTTTGCGATAAAAATCACTTTTACCTCGCTCCGCGTGGAAATTTATTTAACGTTTGCATTTCTTATCGGACAAAACTTAACGCGACTGCACATTCGTCAGAAATCGAGACCAGAGAGTTGCTCGAGACATTTTAGCGTTCGCTATACGTCTGCTGGATGTGCGCTATCTAAAAACAGCGAGGCTCTGTGAACAGTACAAAATGCAAGTCGCGCAGGAATAAATCACGTCGTTTCCTTTGTTACGATGCTCGCATCTCGCTCGTCATTCTAACAGCAATCTTCCTCCGACCGTTACGCATCCAGTCAAATCGCGACGCCGTTGAGAGCATTTGTATCCTCGACGCCTCTCCGAAAACTGCGAATCGCGACGCATGAAATAAAGGGCCATGCGTCGCCCTTTCGCGCAAAAATTTGTCCAGAGCTTTTAAGCGGAGATTTATAAAAAGAGCTGCATCGCAAATATTTTTTTCATAACACATTGCGTATATTCGCGAATTTGCTCTAATGTAAATCACGCATCTTTGGACGCATCGCTTGTAAATAATTAAACTTTTTTCACGAATCTAAAATTAATTAATTCGATACTCTTTACGATACACGAATAATCAAACGATTAAAATATCTTTGAATTTAGATTAAGAATCAATATTGTGCGATTGAAATTAATTTACATACAACTACAAGCGATAAAATATCGATAAACACGCGGTACTTGTTTTCGGAAAATTTTAAAAAATAATAAATATAATACATTTGCCAAAGTTGTCAGGGAGTCATCAAGAACAAAATAAATGATTCAAGAAAAACCATTAATTCCGTTGCTCTATGGGATAAAAGAAAAAAGTAAATGGCAATTGGAATTTATCGCGATTTAACATTCCTGAATTGTCAAGCAGCGCGAAAGGCAAAAAATAATAATCAAAGGAAAGCGGTTAATTTCGCGACTATAAAGTAGAAGCAGGTGGCAGGTGGTATTTATTTCGCGATTTGCGCGGACAATGTTACAGACAAGGAGACAGTCAAGCCCGGGGAGACGTCCAAGGAATTGCTCAAGTACGACACTCACGGTTCCATTACCATCATGCCTACGGCGGACGATAATGGGATGGATTACACCTGCGAGGCAAACCACCCGGCGATACCCATAGACAGGCCTATGCGGGCCACCATCAAGCTTTCCGTTTTCTGTAAGTGTACAACGGGCATATGTATGCCACGAAAATATGCGCTCGCGTGATCGATTTATGCCATGTCGTGTCAGCGCACTCGATAGCACATCGTCGTAGAAAAAGCATTGCGGGTGTTACATGAAATTAAGGTTCGTGGCGTTTACCGAAAAGTTTACGAGTCGACATTAATTTCGAGTCCGCGCGCCCTTTAATTTCACGCGATGCTTTATTTATGCTAGAAGAAGCTGACGCGAGCTTCATTTGTACGTGAACAAAGAAGTTGTTTTAACGTAAGGTAAAACAAAACGCTGACGAAAGCTGACCGGAGAGTAACGTTGCTAATTTGAAGATATATGACGCCGGTCTGCGGTGGTAACTGTAAAATCGTGTAAACGTTGCTTTCGTCAATTATTACCGAAATTAACGTAACACAAGTCACAGCTTGAATTTATCATGTAATATAATCCACCGGGAATAAATTGCAATTCGTCTAATATATAGAGTTAGAATGCGCGCGAGGCAGAATCCGCGCGTATTTGTAGAGCTCCTCTCAAATCTCGCATGCATATCGCCCCTTTGAGTTATCTGAGCTGAGAACGACTTTCAGTCCCAATTATCCGGATTACGCTTTCAAATAAGTTTCGTTAGCGCGACGTCTCTGTACATAACGGCGCATCACCGCCCCGGTGTCTGCCTCACAGATCCACCTGGTGCACCGTACATAGAGGGCTACACCGACGGCGAGACCGTGCAGCGCGGTCAAAATGTAGAGCTCGCCTGTCGATCACGCGGCGGAAATCCGCAGGCGGAAATTGTCTGGTACAGGAACGACGTGAAGATCACGGCGGCCCATCGCAGGGTCCCCGGCCTCAGCGAGAACGTGCTCTCGTTTACGGCCCGAGCGGAGGACGACCAGGCCCGCTATAGATGCGAGGTCTTCAACATCATGAGTGTGCAGCCCATGAAAACGCACGTCGATCTCACCGTGCTTTGTAAGTGTGTGTGTACGTGTGTGCGTGTGTGCGTGCGCGCGCGCGCGTGCAGCGCGCACGTCTGATAATTACGCGCGGTTAGATAGAGGTAAAACGTTGCAAATTATATTTCGAGAAACGCTCCGAGAAACCCCCCCCTCCCCCATTTCTTTATCCATCTTTTGCATATTATATTCATATAATCGCGAATTATTATATTATTCCTTATATTAATCCGGAATCGAATAATGAGCTTGAATTTTTAATACATTTAATAATACGTATCTCGCCTATAGCTACATATATATATATAATTGTACTTTTTATGTCGATGCGAATGGAATAATGCGAAATGCTTCAATTTAATCCATGCAGGATTACGTTCGATGTTTCCAAATTTTATTTTTCATTTTGTTAAACCGAATTAATATTTTCAAGGAATAATTTAATGCCTGCAATGTCTGAACAAATTCAAAAATGAAGGAAGTGAATATAAAAGAATGGAAATATATAAATTTTATTGCTCTTAAGATTCATTTCTTTTCTGTTTCTTGAATCTTGCACAATGTGCAAGATTGCGTATTTCTCGCGAGTGATACTTGAGATGTATTTAAGGTGTAGAATATTAACGTTGCCTGGTGCCTGTCTGTGGCACTTACCATTACTTTATCGCAAGGCATAGTATTGCGCAACTAAGGTTGCACAGCGTATGGACGATCTCTTGCCGACGGAACAGCCGCATAAATAATTCCGCTTCTCTATTTTCGCCGAGGCTACGTTCGCGTTATCCAAATTGAAATTTTGCTAACTTTATGTTCGCGTGATGTATGCGGATAAAGCTAGAAAATATACCGCGACTAGCTTATCGTACACTTACGATTAAGGGAAAACGGTTGTCGGCCGTACTGTTGTAGTTATTGACGGTAAACTTTATTTCATATTTTTATATGGCCGACATCAAAAATGAAAATTTACGACGGCTAGCGACATTAGTTTCTCGAGCGATGATTTTTAGCTCCCCAAAAATTTGCTTAGCAGAATATCGAGTTTAAAAAACACAATAATTCACGGTATCCTTCCGCATTGCATTGTCGTTATATATCGATACCGATGCATATTTGTATCCGCTAACAATTTGTATTTATTTGGATTCCCGGCTCTTATTTCAAATCAACGAAGTATCTACATACCTACGTAGCTGTTTTTTTTTTTATGCTATTACTATTTTCGCCGTAGATTTTTTTTTTTTTTATGAACCACGTCGCCACGTGAACTAATTCGAGCTTTTACGATCCGCAGTTGCGCCTGCCGGAGTAACCATCAGCGGTCCGACCGAGGCGAAGGCGGACGACCAGGTGCTCATTACTTGTACGACGGAGAACTCGAATCCGCCCGCGGACATAAAGTGGACGGTGGACGGGCATAATTTCGAGAGCAACGCCTCGAAGACGGAAGTGGCGCCGAACGGTGGCTGGATCACCAGCTCGAACGTGACGTTCAGCATTAATCGCAAGAGCCGCAGCATCGTCGTCATCTGCCACGCTTCTAACGCCAAGCTCACGGAGAATGTGGTCGGCACGCACACCATCAACGTGATATGTGAGCATCCCTCTTCTCTATCATACAATTTCGCCAGGCACCCAGGTACAGGCGCGGGCACACATCGCAGTCGTAACGAGAGTCTACGCTTCTCTCGCCCGCGGCGAAAACCTAATTTCCGCCTCGCGTCAAAGAATACCTACCTACGTACCTAGAGACATATTCCGGAATTCCCTATTATGGGATAACTATAATTCCTCATGGAAAACCATATCAATTGGCAATTAATGATGTTGAAATTTTTCAACGGACGCACCGGCTAAATCTTTGTTAAACGTAAAATTCAGTTGATTATTTACGTCGCTCTCGTATTTCATTTGTGAATGCAATTAACTCTCTTTATGGATATTCTCGGCAAAAAAACACCTCATTTAATATTTTCAATTAAAACTAAATAATATTGATATGTAATATAAAATAACATCATTATGTGGAGATATTTATTTCTCCATTTAACTTCTTTAGTTAAAAAATACTACCTTTCTCGTGGTGTACGCTAAGGTGAGCAAAGCGGTCTAAGATATCATAAAAAGATCGCTTCCGAGATGAAATATTATAATGCGCGGATATTCTCCTCAAGTGCGCCATCAGGATAATGGATATCACGTTCGCTTCTTTAACGATCATGGCTCCTCACCTTACGATTTGCAATATGTTTAGAAAATTTTATAACGATATCGTTATTGGTCATTCCTCCTGACATCTTCGCGGCGCGACGCGATGACATATTAATCGGCCACGCCGTCGTTATTATTCGAGGTCCCAAACATGCATACGCACACTCTCTCTCTCGCGAATCCGGTGGTCAGAATTCATTTAACATATTCGACATTACGTCATGTTGCGCACATGATACACTCGCGCAATAATACAACCGTAATCGACCGACATTAATTTCCGCCGTAAATAAATAATCCTTGTATAATCAACTGCATTTTCAGCTTGTAATTACATGCATTAAAATTATTCGCTGTCTGAATATACTAAACAATTAGTTGGCCTCCAATCAATACCGTTCGGCGATTCGAGACTATAACGAATACCACTCATGTCCAATAATGTAACTGGATTCACCAAATAATCCTTACAAATTATCATAAGCTTTTTATCGAATTTTCAAAGAATGGTGAATTCAAGGAGACAAAGAAAGCGGAAGAATAATAAACTCGCGAACTATGGAGAGATAACAATGAAAGAAAAAAGAATGCGTATTCTTTTTTTTTTATTGTACATTAATCTGACTTAAAAAATTTTTCTAGCGCTACGTAAATCTTTTTTTTCTCATTTGCGATTGTAACTTTTAATAGAAATTTTTTAAATTGTGTGGGGATATAATAGTCACAGAAATCCCATGCTTAATGATAGCAAAAAAAATGATTAACCGGTTATGACCGGACTTAATCGATTTTCTAGATCCACCTTCAAAACTAACCGTCACCGGATACGAAGAAGGCACGACGATAGTCGCCGGAACGGTGCTGAAGCTCATGTGCACTGCCACGTCGGGTAATCCATTGGCCACGTTAACATGGTACAAAAACGATCGCAAGGTACGTAAACTTGAACAATGCGATCGTCATAAATCTAGCAGTGGCGAATTATTACACTCAAAAGAACATAAAAATCCTAAGCACAAAAACTCTTCCCTGTTTTCTCGTTTATGTTCAAAAAATTTGATTGAAGAAATAATAATAACGGAAGTAATTAATTTTTAGTAATTTAATGGGTTATTTAGTCCCTCGGACTGTTTTTCCTAGAGTTACATACCACTTAATTAAATATTATTGAAAACGATCTTGTGCATTCAAACATTACAAAACTTTTTAAAGCCTCGTTAGTTTTAAATTTTACGCAGTGTTTTAAACAACAAAGCTTAAAGCTTAGAAGCTTTGTCTTTTGATTTTATAATAATTATTAAAAGTAACGGCATTAACTTTTCTTATAACTTTTTCAAATAGTAGAAATTCATAATTCGCAAGAGTTATTCATTTTTTAATTTGAATTAATATTTAAAAAATCTGTCTCTTATCATTTATGAATATTACACCATTGTTTCTTGCATTTTTGAAGTCTTTTAATTTTCGCGAGCGTTTTAGATTTGATACCAATTTCCAGAAATATTTTAAGATCCACCACTGGATAGATCATTATACTAACATTCTTTTGATATATCACAGGTACCTGGCACAGTGAGGCAACGGCCTCACGCTGTCTCGAGCGAGCTGGCGATACTTGTCAACGCGTCCGACAACAATGCTCACGTGCGATGCGAGGCGACAAATTCCGCCACCGAGATCCCGCTGCTCAAAGTTCTCGTGCTAAAAGTCTATTGTAAGATATGACTCATCCCGTATATTCATTATCATAATCCTTTTGTGTGTTTTCTTTTTATCGAGGCCTCGTCTTAATTCGAGACAAAAAGGGAGACATTAAGTTTCTCCGATAAGAAAAGCTAGCTCACAGAGATGATTGAACGACGCCGTAATTACTCTCTTTTTTCTTCACGCCGCGAATCGCGAATCTCGGCGCGGCGATAGCAATATTTTAAACGGCGAACCGTCGACTTTTTACCCCACAGTCCCGCCCGAGAGGGTGAAGATTAACCGCGAACCTCAGGATTTTCACGCCGGCCAGGAGGGACGTCTAATCTGCGAATCGAGCAGCAGCAATCCCGCCGCTGAGATGTCGTGGTGGAAGAATGGGATACCAGTGCCCGGCACTAGGAACAGCACCAAGCCCGGATTACACGGCGGCTACCTCTCGTCCGTCGAGCTCGTGCTGGACTTAACCGAGGACATGAACGGCGAAGTGTATACCTGCGAGGCCAAGAACGCCGAATTGGGGAGATCCAGCCACGACGCCACGACACTGGATGTGCTGTGTGAGTGTAGACCTAAGTAGATTGCTCTTAACAACATAATCTGTATACTTGCGAGGATCAGCACGCACGCATGATATCACGAGCGACGAGAGTGCATTCAACCCGGAAATCTCCGCGGAGTGCGAATGCACGGTAATATCTCTTTTTATATCCCTGGATATATCGGATCGTGTTGGTGTAAATTTATCTGCATTTTATCCGCGATATCTCGTCGTTACGGCGTATAATAACAATCAATTGGAACACAAATGAGTTGAAAAGAATGCGTAGACGAGATTGTGAAGAGAGAAGAATTAATCCACTATTTTTACATAAGCTTATAGCATAAAAATATGTAAAAAAATAAAATAAGCACACGATGATACAAAAAATATTTTATATCAAATAAATATGTACTATACAATAAATATATAGATATATAAATTTCATGAACTTTTGCCTCCTTTTCATATTTTTAAAAAATTTTAATCTCATTACTCTCGAATATTCAACTCACTGATTGTTTAATTTTTTTTTTTTTATGAAAATGAAAAAAACAAACTTGTATACTGATAACCATTGAAAAAATTTTATACAGAAGTTCATACCTTTTATTGAATAATTTTTAAAAAATGTGTTTACGTCATTTTACTTCATAATATTTATTTAAAATTCTTCTCTCTGATGTATATCGAAGTAATGCTATTTTTATAACATCTTGCCCGTTAGATACGACAGAAATAAAACACGATAACGTGGTACGAACTTGTTTTCTTTTTGTTCCATAGACAAGCCGATATTCTCGCCGTTGGACCCTTATGAACTAACCGGCCTGGAAGGAGAGCCCTTTGTAATTTCCATATCGGCGAGGGGCAATCCCAACACGACGGAATACACGTGGACGAGAGATGGTCTGCCATTAGGTAGCAGCGGCAAGAGAATAAGCGCGCACGGTTCCACGCTAAATATCACGAGATTGGATCGTCATGATGCCGGCACATATATATGCGAGGCCCTGAATAAGGAGGGGACCACCTTTTATCAGTTAAATCTGACTGTGCAGTGTAAGCAAACAATATCGTCGCGTCGATTGCATTGCGCAAGTAAATTCTATTACGAGATTATTGTGATTAGTTTCGAGACACGTTAATAAAAAATATTGGCGATTTGATAATTATATTATTATATCTTAGAAAATTATTGATTAATTTTAATCCGTTCTTCACTTTCTCTTATGATTTCTTAAAAGTCAAGTGAATTTCAAAAAGTTTTTTCTAAGAAGAAAATTCTAAGAAGTGATTTTATGATTATATTTTTTAATATTTAAAATTGTTTTTGTTAATGAACGAATCACAATTTCATCATTCACAATTCACATTTCATCCTTTTATTCCTGATATCCCGCAGATCCGGCTAAAATCAAGCGAACGTCTTCGTCAGGAATAGTCTATCCCCCAGATATGGAAGCGAAACTGTTCTGTGAGGTTGACGGCAGTCCGATCGGCGATGAGTACGTTACATGGCAGAAAGTAGGATCGAATCCTGAATTGCCGGGACGTTACTCGACATCCTTCGTTAACCGGACGTCATACCTTCATATAGAATATCCCAGCAAGGAAGATGTGGGCGAGTATCGATGCAAGGTTAACAACGGCATCGGCAACGTAACATCGGATCCTATTCTATTTATTACAAACTGTACGTAAAGAATTTTATTTAAATTTTGTTACACTATTAATACCGCTGAGTTCTAAGTAAACAGATGATAAAAAGTGAATGAATTTGCATTTTAAATGTTATATATCACGCAGTAATTTTGCATCTAGTAATTTTAAAAAGTAGCGAACAATACATTTATATACATTTTTATCAATGTAAATTAACATTACTCTCTTACTTTTTGATTTATTCTTTATCTTTTTAGTTCTTGAAATTAAAAAAAGATAGAAAGTAAGTTGAATCAACATTAAAGTTAATTTACATTGATGGAAATGGACATTAGCATGTAAATGAGATTGAAACAAAAAATCGAGAAAATTCGTATACGATTAATAATATCGACTATTAGTATATTTAGTCTCAATATTTATATAGTAAACAGTTAATAGTAATTCAGCGAAAAGTATTCTAATTATTGATGTTAATAATTAAATGATATAATATTATTATTGCAATAATTATGCTTGATTAATAATATCAATAATAATCAAGTAGTCAATAGCAGAATTGCCTACGACTCTATAATTGCCGCAAAAATTTCAACGTTTAATTATATTTTAGTAGAAAAAGCGTACAGGTATTGTGTGATCACGTGAAGCATCGCAAAAATATTCGTTGCGCGATTCACGTATCGGAAAGCGTGTAATAAAGAATTTACTAGTACTTTTATGCGCAGTTAAACCGGAAATGACGAACACCCCGCTGACGCGAAAGGCAGCGGCGAACAAAGGAATAAACGTCCAATTGTTCTGCAAAGCTCGAGGATCTCCATTGCCGCGTTTCATTTGGATCTTCAATGGGAAAACTTTATTGCCGAATGCAACTGAGGATAAATACAGTATCACTCACAGCGATGTAAGTCGCTTTATAAGATGTACTTATCTCTTAAATAACGAGTTCCTTTACCAGTATATCTCCTTTAGAGCGCCGAAGCTTTACAGTATTGTATTGCATACTGTAAATCTTGTTCTTCGTTTAATTTCGAGCGAATTTTACTTTGATAAAATTTCCATGTCGGGCATAGTTAAGAAGATATTTACCGTTGAAATTTTGAAACTTGTAAAGAGGTCACAACACCTAATTATAATCTTTCCATGGAAAATGTAATTATATCATTGCAAAGATTTCTATCGAAAGCGTATGTTGCGTATGTCAAAACATTTTCTGATTTTGTTCTCTTAATAATAATAAGTTATATTGTTACTGATAAAATAATATGTCACTAGCTGTCCGAGCTGTATTCGGAAACGACGTTGACTATCTACCGCGTGAGGTCGCAGGACTACGGAAAATACAAATGTCGTGCACTAAACAAAATGGGAGAGTCTACTGACGACATACTTTTGGACGTCACGTCTCCGCCGGACAAGCCAAGCGATCTGAAGGTTTATAACCACACGCATGACTCGGTCACGTTGATTTGGAAGCGCGGTTTCGACGGTGGCTTGTCGACATCCCATCAGATACGGTGGCGACAGGCGCAGGATTACGAGGGTCGCTATCACTACCTGGACGTCCCGCCTGGCGAGTATAAGGCCACTATATCCGGCCTGTCGCTGGGGACTTATTACGTATTTAGTGTAAAGGCTATCAACGAGAAAGGAGACAGCGGCTTCTTGCCGGACATCACCAAAATCCAGACGCTTCGTAAGTTGTAGATAAACACCGTAGATTGCTTTTCTATTTAAAAATGACTTTCCAGTATAATATATAACGAAACAGTAATTAATAGAAATCATGAGAATCATGTTCATCAAAGGTTATTTTTTTTTTTTTCACGAACAAAGTATCTGCATTAGACAGTATATCGTTATTCATGCTACATGGTGGAAAATAACAGCTTGCTAAATCATTATGCAGATCATCGAGACATAATTAAACGCGATTGCCCCGCATCCACGTAATTAATTGTACTCAGTAATTAGGTTGATCGTGTATTACATTACGTACGTATTTAGTGTGTCCCGTGAATGTTCGCATGGCATTTATATCGTGGGTTAGTTGCAACAAAGTACATTAGATATTATATAGCATAACATTTATAAGTATCATGGATAATCATATTGTACACTGCGATGATTTTAGCATGATTCATTCCAACGGTCATCGCATCAGTACGGGGTGTCGCTTAGCTTTGAAAATTTTTCGGTATAGTAGTATTCTTCCAAGCGCCTCTAACTCAAGATAGAAATTACAGGCTTAACAAGGAAGTTGTGATCGAAATTTGGAAACCAATATGGACAATGTTGCCGCACGTTGTTATGATTATTTTACACATCAGTGCAGAAAACACAAACTAACAGTTACTTGCTTGTCTTTTTAGAAAATATAATAGGTGAGCAAGTAGCTAGTTATTATTTGATCTTAAATACTGGCTGTAAATCTGTCATACAATCTGGCATTACAACGTTCGTATAGCCGAAGATTTCGAAATTGAACGTGTGACTAACAATGTAGATCATTGCATGAATAACTTAAACCGGTGATGGGGCATTGGCTTGGGTTACAGGCGAGGCGCCACCAACCGAGTTGACATCAAGCGAGAATAGTTCCTCCTACATCATCATCATTATCATCACTGTTTCCGCCTCTGCTTGCCTACTCATTGCCGCGACCATAGTCTTTGCTACAATAAAGTCGAAAAAGAAGGCCCAGCGTGCTGGTAAATATAATATTTATCACGTGTCCTTTCTCTCCTTTATTTCCCTAGGCCCGAATAAAGAGGAAAACCTGCCGGACGTCCTCTCGGAAAAGGGCGACTTTCCGATGAATTATATCTATACGTTAGCAGCGACTTCCGTCATCATTTTTATCGTTAATGTCTTCATCATGTTGTGGTACATAATACGAAAACGAAATAAAGCTCGTAAGTTTACGACCAATAATACTTAGCGCGTACGCGCTTCACTTTAGAAGATTATAACCCAACAGTTTGACTATAGCTACAACAGAAGATGTGTCTGGTTTACTCTGATAAAATTTTAAAACGGATCTCAAAACAAAATAAAAATTATAATACCGTATATTATTTTAATTTAATTAAAATATCCAGAGAGAGTGTTTAATTTAAAATTTAATTATATCTATTAAGTAAAGCTAATTAGTATTGCTAATATGCAGTTATAATATGGACTGACAAAATTCATTATTATAAACCTAATGAATTCATTATTATAAATTTGTGAACATTAAATTTATGTGTTTTTTAAATTAACTGCATATGTTATTAAAGAAATGTGAGATTCATCACGTTCGCGATTTGCAAGTTGAAAAAAATCAAATTTGATTGTTTCAATAAAATTCATCTTCTGTATGCGGCTGTAGTCTTACTACTTGCACCTGGCTTTGCTATTTACACGTTCATCATGCGTTATTTTTGTACAGGTATTAATAAGTCGCAGACCGCGGATATGTATGCACCGTCCACCGTCAACGGCGACACCATGACCGGCGAATTAAGTTCGATGTCGGACGAGAAGAGCGACGTCAACTTCGACGCTAATGATTACGTGGTCAGTGCCATCAGTCAATATGTTCTTAGTAACAAGTAATTCCGGAGGGTAGGTTTGAGTTCTAGCAACACTTTTTCTGTTTCATTCTCCCTATTAGTTTTGCTAGCTCTCGCTCTTTCTTTTTACTTATAATTGGGTTTCTACGATTTTTATACTTTTAATTTATCTTTTTTATTTTACACACAAGATATGATAGCTCCTAGAATAATAAACGGGATGCCTATTTATATTAATGAGACTGTCTCTCTCACTGCTAATTTTAACTTTGTTTTTTTATACTCGAAATCTGATATCTTGCACACCATTAAGCATGATATTGTTGCAATTACTAGTTACTTCAAAAGTTGAGACTCTGTAAAATCTATAGAAACTTTCTGATTACGAAACTAAACTTTAACAATTTGAAGTTAAACTATCCTTTTCTTTAAATTGCTTTAATGGCACAGCTTAATGTACTTTTATTTTCGTGTAAAATCTTGATTTTATATAATATATTTATATCAAAATAATTTTACATTATCCGATCGCAGAGTTTGGCTAAAGGCAATTACCCTCAGGTAAATCTAACGCATCTCTTAAATAAACTAGCTTTGTAAAAAATAGCTACGATGAAAGCAGTCTTAGATAAATGTTCGCGACGATCTTAATCTAATAAGATTTCACGCCGTAAATTGCACAAATTTGCACAAAAACATTTTCCACAAAACCACTTTAACGTGGCTTTTCTAATCATTAAGTATTTGCTTGCTTTCTCGCAGTAGCGTGAGATTTTGTAATGGAAGTAAAAGCAATAACGAGAGAATAAAAAAAAACGTAAAGTAACCAAACTAGCATTAAGACATATTTGTGAAGAGAAAAAAATTTTAATATTTCAATTCTTTGCATTAATTTATTGTTTTATGACAATAAAATATTTATACGACTTATTCGACATGGATCAGAGCATCAGCGTACGAGACGTATGCATAATGTACGTAGAATCTGTAAATAAAAATAAAAATTTTTGTTTTTTCTATTGTGTGCAAAACTCAGGGAAATTTAAAAGTAAAAATTTAATGACAATTAGCAATTTTTAAATAATTTAAATACAATACAATTTCAAATCATTTAAAACAATCAGATTTAAAATGCAAAGAGAATTTAACGAAAAATTGTTTTATTAAATCTGATAAAAATATATTTTTGTTTCTTTAGTTGATTGATATCAGTTTTCATTATTTTATTATCTATTATTTATTTAAATTACAATATTGTTTATTATTATGATTACTTTTTATTTGTTGTGATTATTTTATATCCAAAAGAATTACAGAATTAACGAATTTAACACGCGCGAAATATCAGATATATTATCCTATTGATTGAACGGAAATATATAATATAAAAAAAAGAATATAACATGCACAGTTTATTTTTTCTGACTCGCGGTAAACTCTCGCTTTTGCGAGGTAATGCCGGGTTAATTAATCGACGATCGAACCAATTTACTTACCAGTCGTCGCGCCGTCGCTGCCATTTCTCCATCGTTGTTCCATCGAATAATCCGAATAACCATTCAGGTGGATAAGAGTCGATCGGAGGCACTAAACGGCTAATTACATTCTCGGAGGCTAATTAACGCGACACTCGCCCAGTACTTTTTACGGCACTTCCACTGTTTATTGCACTCGCGATAATTAAAAAAAACGATAACGCGATTCGACAATCGACATCACTCGCCGATATTCGTTGCGCGCGCCATGGCGAACCGCGCTGACAACTTCATTCCGGTTCGCTAAATGAATGCGATATGAATTCAAGTACATTTCTTCTTACGCAATCTAAGCGAACTAATTGGCAATTAATAAATGAGTACTTTGATCGATCTAATCGCGCGTGCAATGTACTATTTACAAAAGTAGATAATGAAATAATATAACTGAAATCAGATAGCCACGAGTATTGAAAGCTGAATTAGGAGGTCGCGATTGGTATTGTTGAACGATGCGGTTAATTGCGATCGTACGCGTTAATGTAATACAATATATGATTCTCACTCCCGTAGCTTGTTTCGGTATTTCCGACATTCGTCGCACTCGCGGCAACGCGTTCGAGATGAGGAAATGACGCGAAACGCAGCGAATCGACGCGACGCCTCGACACCATGTTACACGATGCACCGAGACCGGGAAGGACTCGAACCACGCGCCGGCAACTTCACGCAGCTTCCACGATTTTACCGCGAACCGCGAAAAAAATTTATATCATATCGAAAATAATTAAGAATTAATTTAAAGATTAACGCAAATATCATATTCGACGACTTTCGCGACGAGTTTCAAATGAATATACATTAGAGATCTTGCAATTTTTATTTAAATTGGCTATGTTCACACGCGCGAGATCGGAATTCGGTAGACGAGAAACGCGCTAATAACGCAACATCGAATAACGCGATTAATCTCACGAGCATATACGTTAATATAACATAACACGATGCTCACCCATCGTCTGTTTCCGATGTTAATCGCATCGTTTCGCACTGCATTCGGGACGGACTAATAGCGCGAAACGCAACGAACTGACGCCTCGATGCCATAACGTGCACGATGTTCCGCGACGTGGGAAGGACTCGAACCATGTGCTGGCAACTTCATGCAGCCTCCGCGATTTTACCGCGAATCGGAAAAATTCATATATATTGCATTGAAAATAATTAAGAATTATATATATCAAGAGAATAATTAAGAATTTAATCAAAAGCAATAATTAACACAAATATATTTAATGACTTTTGCGATAAGTTTCGAACGAATAATCAATTCTGAAATCATTTTTAATAAACAGACTGTGTCGCAAGGAACAAGAATTCTGAATTGAAAAAAAACGCGCCAATGACGCGATTAATCTCAAACACGATGCTCACCCGTCGTCCGTTCTATCATTTCCGATGTTAAATCGCATCGTTTTGCGCCGCATTCGGAATGAGCGCGAAACGCAACGAACCATCACCTCGACGCCATTCGTTCCGCGACGTTGGGAAGGATTTAAACCACCGGCAACTTCATGCCGCTCCTCGCGGGCCATTATAAAAAAAAAATGTTTAGAGGAAATTGATGATTACTAGATATCGGGGATTACTGTAGAAATCTATTCGATCGCATTTACGCTGAGCTTCGAAAGAGCAAACAATATCGAGGCGATGCGTCTTTTAATAGATTATGTCTGTAAATATGCAGATGCAAGAGCAGCGTAGTATCGGAGAACGCGGTTAATCTCGATCGCGTGTCGATTTAATACGCTACGGCGATTATATGACGTTCGACATCGCCGACATTCGCGCACGTAAAATGTGCTTCTCCACGATCGACGAAGAAAATACATGCAGAAATGTGCGAGCGAAATTCTTAGCACGAACGTTGCGCAAATTATAATACGAACCGAGACGATGTATCGCATGTAAAATGGCGAGGCGCAACGCGATTCAAATAAAACAAAATAAGCTGCTACCAGAGAACACATGAGTTTAGCAATAAAATTTCTATTAATATTAATTACGCGTTGCGACTTAATACAATGATCCAAACTGATTCATGATTAAGTGTCGCTAATTACAAGCGATTACAGATTTTACGATTATATTGTATTATTAATATATTGTTAATTATGTTATTATTAATAAATCACTAATTACAGTCTTATTATGGATTGATTATATTATTAATTAGATTAGTATAAAATTAATTATTAAATTGATTTAATACTTATAATATTGTTAAAATATTGTTACTAATATTATCTTTGTAAAATTAGTATGATCATTTGAAATAAAAACGAAACTACGTGTTAATAAATGCAAAGTGGATGTTGATATTAATTGCCGCGATTAAATTATTATCGCGTTAATTACTGACTCTGGTACTATTCATATATATTATAAACAACTTCTCTCTCTCTTCACTACTTATACTTCCATTGGGAATAAAATTTAAATTGAAGAAAACACGAACTTATATTAATTATTATTAACAAAAAATGGCGTGAAACCTCGAAAGAATAAAATTCAATTTCGTATAGAAAATAATATTATTTTTATATTTATATTTCATGTTTTTAATTGTAGGGACGGTATAACAAAATAATTTTAATCTTGTATGCTAGAAATAATATTTATACTCGCTGTATTGTTAGAAGAATTTTGCAATATTGGAGTAAAATATTGAAATAAATAGTTTTAGTTTCCGGAATTCGTTTCACGCCTGTCTGTCCTTTACAAAACACAAAACGCAAACTGGATATCGCGCCACAAATCAACGATTGTCATTTAATTTGTTGCATAACAGGACGAGGGGCGTAAAACCGCAGCTAGCACATATTTAATAGATCAAACTATGCAGGACTTCGGGAAAGGCGGTTTAGAAATGCAGGTTCATCAGGGCACTCTCGGTCGTCGTAGCAATCACATGCAAACATCTATGAACATGGACTCACCGCCGCAGCGAACTACCGCCAGCGGAACTCTTTCCGGCACATGTGAGTATCAACGATTAAATGTAAATGATACGTGGAAAAAAATTTGTTAAGATTTTGTTAAAATATTTAGAAATGTGGCCAAGTACAAATTTGAAAATAATTTTATTGCATCAAAATACTTATGTAGAATATTCAAACTGATTGCTAGAAACTCAAAAATTTTTGCAATATTATCATTATGCTTAAGCGTCCTACAAAATCATTTTTATAATTCATCAAAATTATTTTCAAATTTATATCTGATAAAATTTTTAGATACTTTAAAACAAAACTAGTGTACATATACATAGAAATAATTCTTAGATACAAGCATGATTACTGAAATTCAAGGGATAGCGATGACATGAACCGTATCAATAGCATACGGAGGAGTCCGTTGATTCCTCGTCATTGTTCCTTAGCTACGTCAACATATAACGTGCGACACCTTCTAACGTCTACGTTGTCGTCTAATGTTACAGTGTCGAAGTCGAGTTACATCGGCAATCCGAGCCCGGCGCCGCCCAACGACGTGAGTTTCTACAGCGTGGAGATGGACAACGGTGGCCGGGGTTATATAAGCTACGACAGCAACCCGAGTCCGGCGCCGCCTGCTATCGGCGACCCGATCGGCGGACCCTACTACCCTTCGTCCATGGGCTCGACAGGTCACATAATAGGCGGGCACATGACGGGGGCTGGTACCGGTACCCTGACACGTACTAGAACGCTGCCGCGTCCGGTACCACCACCCGATGTCACCGTGATGACTGCGGGCACCAAGTCGCCGATACCGCCGTCGGTGCCGCCGCCACCCGCCACGTTTGCCCGTGCCGGTGCCAATAACGGTGGGCCCCATCCGCATCCGCATTCACATCCAGCACCGCCGCCGCCGTCCTGCCAGAGTCACCCGCTGTCGACGTTCGCAGCGACGCCGACCTATTCCGACATCGATGGTCATCTTGTCTGAGGCTCGCCGATCTTCGGGCCCGGCTCGACGCGCGGCAAATACCGCGCCGTCGCTCAGAACGACGACGAGGACCGCCGATCGGCTACGGTCACGGAGAGGAGCACGCGTCTCTGAACGACGCGATTGTGACGATGGACTCTGTTCTGAATCGTCCACGTCGTTCGCATCGTCATCGATCATTATCTCTCTGAACGACGACGAGGAAGAGGACGTGCGCGACGATGGCTCACGAACGATAGCGGTCGCGGCTGAAGGCCCTGACATTCGTCATTATGCGCCTGAACAATCTCCGAGGATTCTGTTTGGTGCGCGAGAAAGTACGACGAAGTGTGTAAATAGAAAAAGACAAAGGTAAAAGGAAAGAAAGAGACGCGGGACATGAGAGTGGTGCACCAAGTTCACGCTGTAAACAGCCTTTCCCTTCCACGCGGCTACTTCCTAGACGACAGGAGATACGATTCTCCTACGCGATTGAATTCTAATCTTAGGGATATATGTACGTATGATCGAATGCTCGACGAAGAGCGACACCCTGGAGAAGGAGAGAAAAAGAGAATGACCGCGCCGATACGCGCGAACGTTCTCCAAAAGCTCGAGGATGATTCTATCTCCTCCGATGTTTCTTTTCCGCAAATTCTGCCTTTTCTCCCCATCTTTATCGTTTTCCCTGCTCTAACTCTTCGTCTTTGTCTGCTCGCCTTAGCGTTATTTAGCATATCCGCTAAACAGCGACGTAATCACGACGCATCGAACGATCGAAGCTTCAAATCGATACTCCAATTGTCGAGGAAAGTATATTTTATGTAAATTATTACATGTGTAATCCCAGAGATAGACGAAAAATCCCGCAATATTTTCGTTTTTCGATTACTTCACGCACGTCGGCACGTACGCTCTTCGTCATAGCGATTATGTTTAGATATCACTATGCTGGTATCAACAAGTGTCGGGATATTCGCAACAAACCCTTGAAATATCAAACAGAGATCTTCTTCACTCTGACTGTGACTGACGCCGAAATACAAAACTCAAATTTCTAAATGTCATCATAAACCTGGCGATCAATGGTAATATTACTATTAATACAAATATTACGGAATATCTTTTTCAGTTCCGTAGCAACTGTCACAAAACAAATTTCTATTTTTATTTCAAAATTAATTAACAAGCAAATTAATTTTTACATGTTCTTTCATTGTACAAATCTATCCTCTGTCTTTCAATTTGACGTTGTTCTAGCTACAAGATACAAGATCTTGTTAGTACCTAATTTTTTATAATCATGATTATAGCACGCAATCAATAACATTGCTTTTTAAAATACTGATATTAATTAAATTAATGATCGCACAATATTGCCCCTTTACAGCTCGTAACTATGCAAAAGTGGGCATATCTGTCATGACCGTCCATTGTTTACTTTCACATTGATAAGTCGGTTCATTCCGACAATTCAAGGCTGAGGGAGGCGAGACAATCGTTATTACAAAAAAGAATACTTGGAAAATTGTAGAGAGTCCGATAGCAGCGACGTTAAAACTTTCTTTTCATTCTCATCCTTCGTTCATGTTGTTTACGATTCTCTATTTAAGTTAACGGCATCTCCTTATACACAATATCTATGGTGCTAACCAAGTTCAGTGTTAAATGTGGCGATTTGATCTCTAATCTCGACATTCCCACTTAGTGAGATATTTAATGTTAGATATAGTCATCTTTAGCATTAAATAACAAGAATAATCAGCGAGTTCATTATTTTATATTTTATCAGAATATTCAGGATCTTACGATCCATGCAAGAATGAATAGAAGAGTCTGAAGTCAATTGTAACAAAAGAGAATTACAGTCTTAATAATCTACTACTATATATATTTAAAGAAAAAGTAGAATGTAAACGTTTATACAGATCGACGAATGTTTTAAACTATACATGTATATATAAATTTTGACAAATGTTTTGAATGTATATCTATAAATTTAAAAAAATAGTTATTAAGCATCAAAATCCAGCCATAATCGAATAAATCTTGTATACTTAAAATAGAAATTGGATTTTTTGCAACAATATGATAATAAATTTTTAACTGTTTTTTATTAATATTTTACCGAAATTATTATAATTATAGATTTTTAAGATTTATAAAATTTTTAAAATTGTACAAAGTTTCTGAAATATTTTTAAATTCAAGAGAGATATTTACATATTCTCTGTTTTTAATGATACATGCATAATATTCTGTAATATGGATATTAATCTTTATTATCGTAAATTTAATACTATATTATGTTATATATTAATATTTCTTGTTAAACTATATTTGATTATTCACTCAATTAATATATTATATTTCTGCAAATCTGAAATTCAAATATTTCATTCAAATATTTTTTTGTTTGAACATGACTTTAGCTATATGATCTCAATTGACTTCGGACTACTCTATATGTCACAAGAAAGAGACTACGCGACAACTTGAGCTATATGTTGAAAAGGAGAATTTCACAGGAGTTCGTTGTTTCTGAAACACGAACTATTCAAGCACATTGTTAGCATAATCGCGCAATTTGCATATCATAAGTCATACTCGTGCTTTAATTACTTTCGTTAGAATTTCTCTAGAATGTCGCTTAAGTTACTTATATCGCTATTTACGTAATTGCGCTGCGATTGTCATCCCTTGAATAACTTTTACGAAACAGAAAACGAATCCGACACGGAGTTTTCACTGCCGATCCTAAAGTCAATATTGTAGATAGTCCAATATACTTTTACCTTCTACTCGTACACAATGTAAATCAAACGACCGTTCGTCGCAATACGATTTTATGATTAATCACCAACGACCGATCGCTCGTTAAAAAACTCACGTATTTTTGCGTTTAATTGGTCATGCCGACTTCGTCGATAATCCGCGCTTTTCATTCGGCACAAACACATACGAGCGGGTCGCTGCCAAATGCATCCACGATGCAACTTTTACGCGTTGCGTTTAGAAGTGCGTTTATAAAACGAAAAACGGATAACGACGATGTAAACTCACTCGACCAAGTCGAGATCATGATTCGATCATCGCAGATCCCGCTAATCGTTTCACGATTTTACCGCGAGCGTCTGTCGTGTCGAGATAAAAACACACAAGATATAACATAATCAGCGAGAGAAAGAAATTTTCCCAGAGGAGAGCGATACCAGTGGAATGTCTCGGCGTAGTGATATCTTGAACAAAGACAATAGTATATAAGTTTAATTGCTACGTTTTTTAGTTAAGGGTTAAATATACTCTGTCGACAGCGCAGCGATGTTTCGAGAGGACCGCGCGAAAAAGATTTTGCGTAGAGGAACGTATAAAAGCAGCTTACGCGATTCCCGCGGACGGTCGAAAAACTGCACGGATACTCGTATTAGCTCGACTAAATGTTCATACATATACATATATTTTTGCATTTATTTCCAATTACTAATTATGATTAAACCCGTGTACATAGTGCGATAACATCTCAATGTTTCACGCGGTCGGAAGAAGGGAAAAAAAATTACAAAAAGAAAAAAAACAGAGAAAAAAGTAATTCAAATGGATCATATGAGGGTCTCACTATTACCTAGGCTATAAACGAAATATTGCTAGAGGGTAATAACGCTGTATATCCGGGGGAAAAAAAAAAGAAAGAATTAATCCTGTTGATTGTGAGCGAGACAACGTCTTTCCGTTCTTCGTCGAAAGCCTAAGTAGTCAACGTATATATATTTTTGAAAATGATGACGACGACGACGACGATAATGACGACGATGACGATGACGACGAAACTCGATGCGTTTGGCCTATCGTAAGTGGGATATATTGCGATAATAGGGAGCCATATAACGCACGTTGTACCCGCATTTCGGCGGTAAAGGGCTGTGACAATGAAGCGTAAGGATCCCAGTGACGTCGCGTTCCTTCACATTAACGTACCCTCGGTCGCGGATTATCCCATCGGGAGGCATCACGTAATGCATAATGTAATGCATAATGATTTCCCGCGCTGCACGATGATTGTAATCGATGTATTCATTCGTAATTTCGTCGTTTACAAGATTTCTCGTTTCCACGAACGGAGCCACATCTTTCATCCGTTCGCCGGCATTAAGATTCTTTCCTTAAGATGGATTGATTCTTAAACCGAGGAATCGCATGAGAAAGAATTCGTTCCGACGATGACGGAAAGAGATCTTCTGGGATCCGCGCTTCAGCTTCCCGCGATGAGAGGAATTGTTTGTAGGAGACAATTTATACTTTACCCGGCCGGCGGCCACGTGCGTCATGTTGCTCGTTGAGAGATTGTTTGAAAGTTTTATGAATAACGTTTTTCTGTAGCGTATGCATATATTGTTGTTTCTCATTACAGCGATATTATTTGTTAACACGGTAGATACTACGAAGCTTAAGGCAAAAAGAGAGAAAGGGGAAAAATAGAAAAGAAAGAGAGAGAGAGAGAGAAAGAGAGACGTGTATTGTTAAACCGCCGTTATGTATGGAGCCGCACAGTTCGGCTTAGACTGATGATAAGAAATTCACGTATGCTCAATTAGAGATGAACATGTTCGCGCATAATTAAGAGTTCTATTTACATATACATGTTTTATATTTGTAATTAAAAAAAAAACAAATCATCTATACTTAATATTACCTGAAGATTATTATTAGATTTATGTAATCTCCAAAGTATTTGCTCATCAAAGTGCTAGGCATGTTAGACGGACCGCTATTCGTCCAAAATGGTACCTTGGAGATGGACATACCATCTAACACGTACGACATTTGATATTTTACATAATAATAACGACAAACTCGTAATTCCGTTAATTACTCTAAGACATAGTCAATCCTAATTATACAATCATTAAGGATATGGAAAAAAAATGAATCAATTAATCGTTTTACATGTATATAAACATATAATGTACATAGCACTTAGATAGATACAAAAAGGGAAAAAGGAGAAATAATGAAAATACTTAAATACGAATTATATCAAACTACAAGAAAAAGAGACAAAAGAAAAACGAAAATCGAGAGCTTTTGTATACTAGGTGTATATCGATATATAATTCATTTTGTATCGTTTTCTTTTTACCGCGACGATAATTATCGATAAATAGGGATTAGCGGCAGCGTCATTGTTTCTAAAAAGTGTGACGTTCAACGACATAGCGCGAGCATCGCGGATGGCAAATATCGACGACGGGAATTAAAAAAATAGTGGAGAGGCAAGAAAAAGAACGTATCAGGACATACGAGTTAGCAAAATGACGCCGCGAAAATTATATCCGTTCCAAAATTGATATCGCCAGTGTTCCATCGCCTTCGCGTCATGCCACGTTTTTTCATATTACGGGGTACTTTTATGAGGATCTTTCTTATTACTCGGGCTACTTCTACTTTTTCACACGCGTAGAAGATAATTTTTATCCGTTTTATGCCCTTTGCGTCAACGCCAATGATACACGAAAGTACGTTGTACTCCTCCCTCCCCGCGTTTTGAAATTTGTACATAACGTATTATCGCGCCGCGACTGGTCTAAATGTTGCTTCCGTTTTATGTGCCAATCGATCAACGTTGTTCTTCGACGTGTGTAACATATGTTACGGAATATTAATACGAGACGAGACGAAGGAGGGAAAAAAAAAATAGAGACGAAGAACGGTACCGGTCGACGATCGTTCGACGGAAATTTTTCAACGCGCGACCGGCACTGGTTCTCCGAGTACGTCAAGAAGGAAACACACGAAATAAAAGAGACATAGGAGATAAAAAGAGACAAAAGGGAAGAAAGCACGAAAAAAGCGAAAAAGAAAAAGCTCTCTGATCGACGTAACGGTGTAACATAATTGAATGCCCACGATTAACTAATTAATGTACATATACATAGTATTTTTACATTCTAATTCTAAATTACATTTCCAATTCTAAATGGTATACACAACACTACACTCACTGTGAGCTTCGCTCCGTCATCTGCGTATCGTAATGCGACGACGACACTTGTTCACCGTCGACCCATCACTATCCACCCTCAACACGGGGTGAGATGTGTTTCGTACAAAAGTGCATTTACAATGATTATTGCTCAGCAGCATCCTCTTCTCTGTTAACTCCTCCACGTCCACGTGCATTACATTTTCGCGTTGTTACACGATGTTCAATAACAAAACGCATGCCTTGTGCCTTTTCGCCGCATCACGTTGTTTAAACCGTAATATGTAGGGCAGAGCGAAGGGAGAGGAAGGATACCTTACGCGCGATACGTTTTACTATTATTTGCGAGACACATTCGCGCGATTTGTCTGAGCTATGCTCATTGCCGAGATTTGTAACGAGAGACGTTGAGCCTCGAAATGCTTTCGAGACACGAAACGATTCAAGAAGTAACAATATTCATTTTTCTTATTTGATATTCCATCGCGATCATCGTAGCATCATTAGCATTGTCTCTTGCGGGAATTAACGGCA